GTCCCAAGGGGACAGACACAGTCTCCAGATCTCCTATATCATGTGACTCTTTATCTTTGAACTGGTAATAAACCAGAACTCTCCAGGTATATAGCATTCCACAACATCCACAGGCAGTTCTAAGCATGAGGTTACACACGCACCCACATGCACACACACACACACATACATACATACACACACACATACACACACACACACACACACACACTCACAAACCTATGTACACACATCAAAAGAGATATTCAGGTCATATTTTAGTCTAGGAAAAAAATATATTTATATCACTGCAATGGCACACCCTGGGTAAAATGTTACTTCAGCAATGCGTATTGGAGGCAGCTTACGGAACTGGCTTTGTTCTGCGTGGTGGCACCTGACCTGGCGTCCATAGTAAAACCTGTAACATTTGGTCACTTGCTGCCACATGGATGCAGCAGGGATGTACAGGAATGAAATATGGAAATACATATAAATAAAACCACAAGGAGTTTGGGAGCAAGGGCTCTGCAGAGCTGGTGCCTTGAGATAGGACATTCCTCAGTGTAGCTGGAGAACAGATGCCAAAGCTGGGTGTTGTTTTTCTGGGTAAGGGGGACTTGACACATTTCTTCTACTGTTCAGGTACAGGTGTTTTGTCATGTCTTTGCCTCAAAACTGGCAGAAGAGAAGCCAAAGAAAAACATTCAGAAGGAACCGAGGAGGGCGTGTTCTATTTTCTTCCAAGGGCTTATGTAATCAACAGGAAGGGCTGTGAGGCTGAGATACCAGAAGCTATTCCCTGTAGAGAAAAGAGAGACAAAAAAAAAAAAAAATGTCAGCCAGTATTACCAACCAGCAGTCAACTGATCAGCTACATGTCACGTTTCTATCAAACTAGCCAGAAACACAACATTTTGGGTTTCACTGAAAGTGACAAGGTTCGGCCCATACTGAGTCCCATTAATATGTACCATAAATACAAACTAGTAAGGACAACTCATTTGTCAATACAGAGACTGATTTTAACTATCCCAACTACTACTGTTGTTGTTATTTGAGACAGGGTCTCACTGTGCCACTCTGGCTAGCCTTGAACTCTTAAGAGATCCACCTGCCTATACTATGCCACCTGAGTGCTAGGATTGAAGGCAAGTGCTACTATAACTGGCTATTCAAACTATTATTTTAAAAAAACAGAGAGCCGGGCATAGTGCTACAAACTTTTAATTTCAGCACTCAGGAGACAGAGGCAGGTGGATCTGTATGAGTTTGAGGCTAGCCTAGTCTACATAACAAGTTTCAGGCCAAGGTAGGCTACATAGTAAGACTCTTGTCTCATAAACAAAACTAAACAAAACCCTAACTAAGTAACTAACTAAAACTAAATAAATAAATAAACAAATAAATAAGGAAAAGAAACAGGATCTAACACATTTTCTAACCCTTCCTTTTTGGGAAATAATAAGCTGTAGTTTTTGAAACCTGACCACATGTAGATTTCATCAGATACATGCACGCTCACATGAAGGACAAGGAGCGTGACCTTAAAACTCCAATATACAAGCACACCATATGCACAGGTAACATTTGGATAGAAAATTTCTTTTGCTATGCCTGTCCTGTCCCCTCCAGGTTCCAAACCCCCTTCTTCACTTAATGTGGGACTAGAAATACCTATTATGTAAATATATTCACAGTACTGAGTGGTCATTGTCGGGAGGGGGGTTGCTTAGGTGAAGATGGATATATTTAAGGTGAGAAGCTGTGAAAGTTGACATCTAGTTAATGTCACAGTAAGAGTCCAGGCAGCTAGTTCCTTTATTAAGGGAGTTCTAGAATTGAAGCCAAGGAAGCCATGTGGTCTATGAAGGGCCTAGAATGCATAAAATAAAATGCATGTGGTTCAATATACAAAACTGCTGCTCTTCTGAGTTAGTCATAGAACATGCAAATATCTTTACAGGTGTGTCCTTTAATATTGATACATATTGCCTCCCAGCCTTCCATAAACCAAAGCAAAGAAGCTCCATCTGCCTGGTGCTCCGAGCCTGAACGGGAGCCTGAACGGCCTTTTGACCACTAGGCCACATGCAGAGAACATGTGGTGAACCTGGATGAGGTGGGAGAATGGCACTTGTCCCTCTGGGGAGCTCTGTGCACACACGCCATGTTGGGAAAGCTATTATTATGAAGGTATCATTATCTTTCTAATTTACAGGTGGAGGAACTGAGTTAGGAAGCAAAGTGGGGCGAGTTTCCAGTGTCAACGTTTCGGTTGGCTTTAGACCGCATAGCTGTCTGGATGCCAGAGTCTGGCTCCACGCCCTGGGAAACAGTGTGGCTTTCCTATTGTTCTCATGGCTCACTGCTAAAACTTCAGGAGGCAGTAAACACTTTTACTGCTCCTTGGGTATTACTGCAGACACTTGGGACGTCCTTTATTGGCCTTTCCATTGGCTTTGACTCTACAATAGGCATATGGTTAAGACTAAGACTCTGAAGGTGGCCTTTGAATGATGTAACTTTCCATATTATCCCATTTGCAGAGATAACTGCCAAAGAGTAAGAAAAGGACCTCAGCACTGTAAACAATGTTCACTTGTTAGAATACTTTAGTGAGGTTGCACTTTGAACACATTCCGTGTTTAGAAAAACATGTCAAGCCTTTAAAAAAGGAAACCTTTTAATCATTCAGTAGTGGCCTTGAGGTGATACTCTGTTTTCACTTTATGTATGAATCCATAATGCTTTCTTATTGGAACAGGACTGCAGAGGTTAAAAACAAAGTACTAGGACTAGTGAGATGGTTCAGCGGCTCAAGACTTTTAAGTGCCTGATGCCAAGGCTAATGGCCTGAGTTTGATCCCTGGGACCCACATGTAGAACTGACTTTTGTATGTTCTTGTCCTTTAATCTCCAGACATATCACATACACACACACACATACACACACACCACCAAAAATCAACACACCCCCAAATTTCCACAGTTTCTTAGAACTTTTTTTTTTGTAAATCAAAACAAGCCAGAAAGAAAGAAAGAAAGAAAGAAAGAAAGAAAGAAAGAAAGAAAGAAAGAAAAAAAGAGAAAATCAGATTCCCCACCCATATTTGTCAACTTTTAGCATGGGGGAAAAAAATCAAGCAACTCCTAGGCTTCATCAAAAGCAGAAATAAAACAAAAATTGTTGGAGTACTTAAAAAAATATCCCTTGGGAAGAGAAAAGCTTTTTACAATTAATATTGTAAGAAAAGTTTTTACTAAACCATCATAATTTGACAGCATCAAATTTAGCACTCCTTACTCTATAAGAAATAGCTTTCAGGGAAAAAAAAATGAGAGGGGGGAGGGAGAGAGGGAGGGAGGGAGGGAGGGAGGGAGGGAGGGAGGACAGGAGGGATGGGGAGAGAGAGAGAGACAGAGAGAGAGAGAGAGAGAGACAGGGAGAGAGAGAGAGAGACAGAGAGAGACAGAGAGAGACAGAGAGAGACAGAGACAGATCATGTAACTATGTAACTTAGCCAAGCTCTTCTTTAAAAGTGATAAAACAGAAAATAGTTAACCCAAAAATCTTAGCGCAAAGGCAACTTTCTCAGTTAGGAATATAATATACCTGTTTCATGAAAAAAGTTCTAGAACATAAAACAGAGAGGCACTGGATGCTGCTAATGGAATACAAGATGAAAAGTACATTTTAGAAGATCATTTTCTGGCAATAAGGAAGTGACAGCTATTCCCAGTCACACCACTGACTCATTGATGAATCAATCCTCCAGGGCTAAACTGGTCTGGTGTAGGGGTTACTGGGATAAGACAGATAAATGCTTCCTTATCTAAGTGACTCCTCCCAAAGATCAGGAGCACAATAGTTAGAAAGACTCCTAACACTACATCTGAGATGCAGATATTAACAAATAGGCCTGGCCTCAGTGAATGGCATTAAAGGGCAAAGGGACCCTTCTTGAGAGAAAGGCAGACAGTGGCGAGTATAGGGTCCAGCCACACGACCTTGACCTCACTTCAAGGAATTTTTCCTATTTCTTGAAGAATAACAGGGAGCTATATTAATCTTGGTGTATTCTACTATCCAAAGAGAACTGAAATCTCATACAACCCAGCACTTGACATGAGTGTTTCAAAAGGAAACAAGTGAGAGAGAGAGAGAGAGAAAGAGAGAGAGAGAGAGAGAGAGAGAGAGAGAGAGAGAGAGAGAGAGAATGAGAATTTGCCAGAAAGTCATTGCTCATTCTTTCAACTTACCTTGTAAATTTGGGAGTTGCCTCTTTAAAGGGGTGTGTGTGAAGATTCTCCATTCAGGATTGTCTCAGCCCAGTATCCATAAGGTAGTTATGATAAGTTTGTAGCATTCCCAAACAAGACTTTATATGGCACAGCCTCAGGCCCAAAGAGACCTCATTTGTCCAGTTAGGGGTAATAGGGCTTGGGAGTTTGCATTTTTTTAAAAATCCATTTTCTTTTCTTTCTAGCCACCCTCCCCCCATATGTCATAAAAATCCACCAGGTGTCATGGGCACTGAAGAGGCAACATGAATGGGCCAAGTGGCTTCACCTGGATTTTCTTCTGTGGTATAAACCAAGCCCTGACAGCCACCATTGAGTCCTTTAACAATGCTCCTGGGGCACAGCTGGTCTTCGTTCCAGTAAAGAGTGATGACTGTAGTTAATGCCACAGATGAAATCCTTCCATTGAAATTCCAGACAGAGCAAGGATTAGGGTAACTTGAAAAGCCACATATCTGATGGGAAATACAGCATTGAAACTCGGAGGCAGAGTTTTATTTATATAAGTACATGTATTTTACACACCAGCGATGGACAGAGTACTTCTGAGAAATTACTGGCTCCGGGTTTAATTCGGATGATCAAGGTCATTCATTATAAGCCCCACGGTTTCAGCAATCTCTTACACCCAGCAACGCTGCAGATATTTTTGTCTTTGTTTTTGTTTTCCTTTAATTTCAGAGGGTGAAGACGAAGTAAAAAAAGTGCAGTTCTTCAATTAAAGTGCATGGATGAGGTAAACTATTCGAGAGTTTTGAGTCTATTCGATACTGGCTCAGACAGGAACCATCCTGCCATGCATCTGCTGCATCTGGGTTCGCATCGCCTGGACGCTGCTCAAAATCTTATTCTGGTGCGTGATTGCAGTGATGCCAATTCTCGCCAGGTCACTGCAGGTGGGGCCGAGAGAGAGGGGGAGAAAGTCATGGAGGGTACGGAGAACCTCTTCCTCACGGCTTCATGCAGACACGTTTGAATCAGCCACAATTAGTACAGTACAAGGCAGGTGTAGACATGTTTCATTATCCCATCCAATACAACAATGCAGGTACTATTTAAAGGTAAAATTATACTCAACCAAAATGAGGGGCATTCCATGTAGTGGGTTTGGCCTAATGTTGTTTGTATTTTAATGTTAATTTGGGTCCCCCAAATTGTTTGCAAGGCAGAATTCACATGTCTGCACATAAGATACTGAGGGAGCCTATCTGTCCCCAGTTGGTTCTGATTGGTAAATAAAGATACTGGCAGCCAATGGCTGGATAGGGCAGACAGAAGCAAGACTTTTATTAGGATTCCTGGGCTTGTGACTGGGAAGGGAAGGAGGAGACCGGCCTTGCTGGAAAAGTGCAGCCCAGAGCACGGCCCAGTTGGGCAGCCCTCTGGGCCCAGAACAACCAAGATAAAACACAAAATTTAGTAAGTTGTAACTCAGAATTATCGGCAGAAGGTAGACTCTCTCGGTAGTGGAGATTAGGCAGGAGCCCAGCTATTGTGATGATCGAGACATTTCAAAATATAAAGGCTATCTATGTGTGTGTCTTTCATTCAGGGAAGTTAAATACTGAGGCAGGTAGCGAACCCTCCCACCGAGATTTATTCATTAATTTTCAATACAACAATTCCAGATTTCTTTTTTTTTAATGAGTAGGGAATGATTATGAAACTCAAAGCACAACAGGCAAATACTATGAAATCTCGATTTACCCTTTGGTGTTACATCGCTGAGTACTTACTCCTGGCTCATGTGAACCACAGCTTCTAGGGTTGTGTACCCGGCGGCCGTGAAGTTGTCCTTATACCGGTCCATTTTGATAGCCTGCAGCCAGTCGCCCACTGAAACTACGGCAGAGAATTCAGGGGAGCTGGGGTCTAACAAGGCTGTGTTTGGTCTGAAACAGAATTAGAGTGTGTAAAACAGCTAGAAGTCAGACTGCCTAAGACAAACAGGCTGGAAAAACAAAGGGTCAACTTTTTAAGCAAAATGGCTGTCATTCAAATTTAACATGTGCTTCCCCCCCCCCCCCCTTCCTGGCCCTCATTTTAGGTGGACCGCTCAGGGAATCGAGTCACATAGCATGTCCCTGATCATTCTAACTTGGTAGAGAATGGGGGAGCCCTTGTGACTCAACCCTATACAGTCTTTGGAGAAAGAATCCATTTTCCATCAGGACTGTATACCACAGACATTAGTTCAGCAACTCTGGACACCTCAGTGAAGCAAAGGGAAGAGAATTGGGAACTTGCTAGCTGCCAGGATTGACGGAAGCTGAGAGAAGAGAGAGAGAGTTCCGGTCCAGCATGCTCTCAGCTAGATGTGCAAGACATGGTCAGTGTGCATCCCCACAAAGCCAGGACAGAGGGAGTTAATCCTCTCTTGAAGCAACCAAGGCCCAACTAGCACATGCAAAAATGGCACTCTGATTGTTCTATGGATTGGGGTTATGCTCCTCAGATTCCTCTGCTGATAATTATTCCAACAAAGTCAAAGCACTTCTTAACTTAGTTATAATTTGTTCATTCTTAAGCCAGGAGTTTACTGACAGATCTATAGTCAAGACTGACTGGTCTCAGGCACTCTGTCTTTCCTCATGACAGAGATACATGAGGAATCTCCCATCCATAAGTCTTTAAGAGACTCATCTTCATCTTTCTACTGAATGACCACAGGCTACCCTTCAAAGATACATTTTACAACACTTCTATTGTAATTTCCTGCACAGAAACATGGTCTTCTTAAACTTTCCTTTCTCCTTAAAACGACAGCAATTCTGTGTCTGACTTTAACATTTTAGCACAAACATTTAAATTGGAATAATGTTCTCAAATTAGAACAAAAAATGTTTTTATATAAAAAAAAAACAGAAGGAAGTTACTGTGATGCCTAGATTTGTTTTTTATACAGAATCAATCCAATCATTAAAGAGCTTTCATTTTTTTTCCTAAATTATTTTCATTTGCATTATTTTCCTTTTACATAAATATTTAAACAAAAACTAACTTTACAGCCATCAATTTTGTCTTTCAATAACTTGTCTCTCTGACCTTTGTCTTGTAGCTGTCAGTTCAGTTGTATAATTTTTCTGAGTAAAATTCAATAACTGTTTTCAGTAAAAATACACAAGGTCAAATTTTCCTAATTTTGAGTTAATGACATTGCCACATAGAATTTTATATCTGTCATTAAGTGTGAGGGGTAGAGTCACAGCATTTGTTGTTAAACAAAACCCAAGTTATTTGTATTTATTTGTGATTTCAGGCTAGGCTCATGAACAGGGCTCCAATTGACTGACAAGGTCTTAAAACCTCAAAGAGAAAATATCTCCACTGGGTGTCAGTTAGTCACTGCCCACCTTGTTCTGAAATCTCTGTTCTCTTTGTAGAACACCACATTTGCGTAATTTTGTGCTAAGTCGTGTCCCATATTCTATTATATCCTATTATAATCAATAGTGACAGGCATTATTTGAGTACTATTATCAAGAAAAAGCTCAAAACTGAGGAAACTATATGGTGTAACTAACCTGCTCTATGCTTTGGCGCAAGACAGGCATTATGCAGTACTAGTGGCTACCAAATACTAAAACATCGTCCTTAAAAAATACCTCCCCTTGCCTATCCCCCAAAAAGGACTCAGATGAAGGCCAGAAGGTAGGGGAGATTCACCCTGGGAATCGAAGAAACTGGCTAGACCTGGAAAGAATGCTTGGGAGCCATTGTAATCTTTCCAAGAATAGGACAAAAAGATAGCTTCCACATGGTAGATGCATTTCTTTCTTCAAATAATAGAGTTACACACAGTCCCAGCTAAGATGTAGAGTTTAGCTACATTTAGTGTTATTCCAGAGCCAAAGTAAGCCTGAGTCTTATCGTTTTTGATTTAACAGTCTAATCAACAGGCCTTTCTAGCCTGATCTACACCAGATGAGTCTTGTGTCTAGGTGTCCTGAATCTGTTGACAGGAAAGCCCATTCTTTAAAGGAAACTTCCTGGTGAACCATGGCCCTGGGACCTTTGTGTTTTTGTTGTTTTGTTTTGTTTTGTTTCACAGACCGGTAAGCTTCCTCAGGCTAAAAGTAATTGAAAAAGCCACCCAGGTTGCAGAGCTCGGAGGTGGTCTGTGACTTTGCAAACCAGGATTTAGGATGCACTGCACTTGCTTGTCACAAATGATGTGGTCCCTTATACATTATTATTAGTAAGCATGGCAAACCTGGAACTCTCTGGCCCTGTCCTCTTCAGGCTGTTGGGGTTGCGGATGAGTTTGTCCAACATGTTGACGATCTGCCCAAATTTAGGCCTGTCGCTTCTCTCTTTCTGCCAGCAGTCCAGCATTAACTGATGAAGGGCAATGGGGCAGTCCATTGGAGGGGGTAGCCGGTACCCTTCCTCAATGGCTTTGATCACCTAGAAGACAAAAGGATGCTGTGGTAAGCTGCCAGCAGGCTAAGCATTGGCACAGCTCCAATGCCTTTACAGAAGCCAAACCTAGGTATTGCTGGCAACAGGGAAGAAAAGCCAGCTGTTAAATGGAAGTGATGCCAATCTGAAACTTGAACGAAAGATGCATTGATATTCCAAAGTGATTAGGACCCAATTAGATCACAGCATGGTGTCAGAGCTTTGGCGACAGCCCTCCAACATCACAGGGTCCTGTCTGCACTCTGCTTTTCAGCCTCAGCACATCTACACACTCCAATGAAAGCCACCCAGCACCAGGCATCCTTGAGGAAGTAATTCTAAATTGGACGTCCCTAGGCATCATTTCAGCCCTGTGTCCACTCACTCAGTAGCTACTACATCAGCATCAGTGCCCACTTTTAGACATCCAGCTATTTTCTCTATAGGAGATCTGTACTCTTATGCATCAACTGGGTCTGTCTTGGCCACAGTCCTCTGTTGATGAATGCTATTCAAAGTGTTAATAAGTAAATTATTTAAAAAAATTAGAAGAATATTATAAGGCATATTATAAGGCAGATCTTTATGAATAAAAGGAAGTTTTCATGGTAGGTGTTTATTGTCTTAATGCTCAAGGCCATTCAGTGTGGTTTGTCTCCCTGCTTAATTAGATAAAGGAACCGTTCCACACTGCTAATTTAGCTCTTCCCATGTGTGTCTTCACAGATAGCACATTAGTTTTCTTCCTTCCAGTCCCCACCCCCCATCCCCCATCCCTTTTGTTTTCTGAGACAGGATCTAACAGTGTAGTTTAGTTGGCTGGCCTCCCACTTGATGTCCTCCTGCCTTAGGTGCCATATTTGGCTCATACTACCTTCTCACTGGCTTTTTCTAAAATCCCCTCCCCATTGGGACCTGAATCCAGTAGAGGTGATTTGGGGGAAAGACTCCTGCCAACTTTAAGGAGGGTGAACTCTTCACACAGCATCTCAGTAATAAGCCTTGTTTATGAGCAGCCTCAGATATTGGAAGCAGTTTTGCTTGATACTTTAATGCCTTTTTATTTGTCCCTTTTCTTTTTCTTTGCCCCTCCCCAAAGGATAGCTGCCAAGAAGATAAAGTTCTGCAGCCATCCAATAACCACACTGGATTTATCCCACAAGGGGCTATTGACTGCTGAGAAACTAGCCTGTGGCAGAAAACAGTCCGTTCGAGTGGATCCGGATTCTAGGCACAGATTTGATGGCTGTCTTTTCAGCCCGCACACTGCTTCAATCTAGCAACCATCTTTTGACAGAAGACCACCCCCCAAGTATTTTTCAATATCTTACTGTATCAGAATTATCTACTTGTCCTTCTAGGAGATGTTTCTGCTCTACCTCGTTTTATGTCTTTGTATTTAATTTTAACTTTGGCAAGCACATTAGATCAGTTTGTGCCTTTTACTCCTTTTATCTTTCCAAGTATGTGGTATTAACTTTGGAGTTGATGAAAGCATTCTCTGCTGATGAGGATGCAAAGAGAAGAGCCCTGGGATGATGCCTGGAGAACTCTAACTGATGAGTGTGCTCTCTCCCAGGCCCGCTGCAAAGACAGCTTTTAGGTTAACAAAGCATGTTTTCCAGCTCAATGCTGAGTCTCTTGAGTGGGGGACCAAAGATAATTATTATTATTTATTTTTATAAATTACTACTAAGTTTGGTGTAGTTTTCCCAGTGTTGTCGTTCCATTTGCCATATGCCCAGGGATGTCACTTACATTTCCTAACAATTCTTCAAATCCAGACAGACAATATATGAATGATATTATCAATATTATTTGTGAGTAAGAAATGGCCTCAAAGCCACCCAAATGAAAAGTATTGCTCCACAGAAATACAGAAATTGTCAAAATTACTAAGTCTGAGATTAGGTAGGGCAGGAATATTGTTCTCTTTCACAGACATGCATGTATCTGGGACTCTCAACTGAAATAAAGGAAGTTGAATGGCAAACAACTCAGTATGTGAGTCCACAGACACCATGCTCCCTCTGAGGGACTGAATCCAAACACTGCTGAAAGAGAATACTTGAAGATCTCTATAAGCGATAATCCCTCCACACCATGGACTCCACGGCATTTACCCACAGTCTTCTTGCATCTTGTGGTGGCCTCTCATTCTAGCTGCCATCTTTTACCCTGTCCACTCTGAATCTTCTTTTATGAATGGTAGATGCTACAATGCCAGTGCTACAATTATTTTGAAACAGGATAGGCACAGTGGAGAAACGCTGCTCGGCCACATGGCCTCTTCATTGCTCTGGCCACTCTTCTGCTTGAAGGAATCTGTGGTTCTTTCAATTCATCTGGCCCTTTAATTGTGAGGGGTTTGTAATTTTTCTATTTTGTTAGTTGAATGAGACAGATGGACAGACAACATTCCACACCAGAATCAAGTTTTAAAAGGAAAGCTTTCCAAAATATAATTTTAAGGGCTCAGCTAGCCCAATTCACAGCAGGGCATGACACTCTCAAAGCATCATTTTAATTGATAAGATAAATATTACATCATAAATTCTCTTCTATAATGCCCTACCATGAGTAAATATTACTAGTAGAGTTTGAAAGGTATGGGCATGGGGGTCACTTCATTTCTAATCCTAAGAATTTTTTTTATCAGAATTAACTAAAACATGTTCTAGGAAATCCCTGATCTGGGACTGACTGTGTTTTGCATTTGTTTTTCCCTTCCTCACTGGAGATGTCTGTAATTAAATTCTATTAGCCTGGAATCTTATTAGTGTCATTATTGAATGTGTCTCTGAAATTGCATGCATCGTAGATACTCCCCCTCGAACTAGTCCAGATGGTACATTTAAAGGGATGTGCAGAATTTACAAAGGGTCATTTAGCGAGGCTTTGTTTAAGGGTCCTTGAGGGCCAAGGTCTAATTACAACTATACCAGCTTTAAAATATTCACTAGGTTTCTTTCAACAAAACTTTTTGTGTCAATTTCACCATGTATGAAATCGGTTAGATTTTACCAACTTTGAATTGTTTATCTATAAATCCACGGACCTATTTCTTCCCCTACACTAAACATTGGAAACAATTCAGTTTTGGTCTGGAAACCAAGTCATCAGTGGGTTATAATGTGGAATGAGGTTATTAGGTATATTTACTTGTATTAAGAGCATTGACTTTAATGTATTATTTCAAACCCAATGCTTACTTAACCATAGGGTAATATACAACTTCCTGAAACTCAGAGTAAAAACTCACATCTTGATTGGACATATCCCAGTACGGTCTCTCTCCATATGACATCACTTCCCACATAACGATTCCGTAGCTCCAGACATCACTGGCTGAGGTAAATTTACGATATGCAATTGCTTCTGGCGCAGTCCACCGGATAGGAATCTTGCCACCCTGTGAACATATCAGCTATCAGTCATTTTCTTACTTTCCCACCAATGTGCCAGCCATTTTTGTTTCTGAATGCAGAGATTACTTGACAGGAGAGAGGACAGCATTCCTGAGGTAGCTCTCAGTAACAACAGACTTGTTTATTCGAGCTGAAGCCTTCTAGGTTGAGGCAGTTCTCCCTATGTGTTCGGTAACCATAGGGAAGTCAATGAGTAATCTGTCTAATTATTCTGAGTGCTGCTTAGGGCAATATTATAGAGAGGAAATCTCAGGTTTTACATAAATACATATGTTATTTGGGGTATATCAAAGGATATGTAGCTTATGTTTGTTTTGCCTTCTTACTGCCTTTCTCTCATGCGGCCTTGAGGAAGGCTGTGCTTACCACTGTGACAGAAAACAACAAACAAGAACAAGGAAGGCAAATACAGATATTTTCTCTCCACCATACTGTCTCCCTAGTCTTATGTAGCATGACAAACATTACTCAGTATAATCTAAAAGGTAATAGGCCCTTGGAAAAAATCAGTATGTTTTTCTGAGGGGAAACTATTACTTAATTAGTGTTTTTAAAAAATTTAAAAATCACAGAAAGTGATAAACTAAGAAATTATCACACAGACAAAGAGGAAATGATTTCCCGGAATAAATCTAAACAACACTAAACACCTTCAAATGTTTCTTGCTTGATCACACTGTTCAACTTGGTTCTTGTAAAAATAAAAACAAAAAACAAAAACCCAAACAAACAAACAAACAAAACTTTTTTTAGTTGAGTTTTAAGTTTCCTAATGTTCTGCCTGGAGAAAGGGACTTGAATTTAGATGTACACATGGGTCTATCAGCCACCATTCAGGATTTTCCTTGCAAACCACTTGGAATTACTTTCCTACTCTGTGGTTCTTAATGAAAACCCAGCCTACTTTGTCATCATACCTTATCTATGGATGAACACATTCACTTCCCTTACATATTTTGCTAAGGGATTTACCTATGTGCATGTATCTTTCTAGCAGCCTCTGTAACTTTTCTTCTATTCCAATATTGAAAATGGCAATAAAAAAATCTGAGCTCAGCAAAGATATCCTCAGAATTTACAAGAGAATCTGCATGCATATCAGAATTACTTGAGGATGGGGCCTTTATTCCTTTTGACTGTTTTTTTCTGATGGTCAGGCTAAGACAGCACACATTCTCTCCCTACCCTGAGCATTCCCTACTTTGTCCTAGTCCTTTTTATCTATCAGTACTAAATCAAATGAAAGCCATCAGATATTGGGAAATGGTCTATACATTCTTCATGTACATTCTCAAATTCACGAGCCAACAAGTGGAGATATTGCTTTGGCTTATCTAGAGCAAGAAATTTTGCCCTCTGAAGAATGGAAAAGAACCAAGTAGAAAAGCTCAGAAAGGAGTACAGAAGGAAGAGGGGGGGAAAAAAAGAAAATCAAGAGAACTTTAGCATTGCACAGATATATATTTGGTATATAGTATATATATGCACACATACACAATAAGTCATCCAATCTCCTGATTTTCATAATAATGTATCATTTGTTGAGTAAATTGCCCTTGATACTGGATTCTGATTTGGCTCAATTTTGAAGATACCATCTCATTGTTCATGAACCCTTTGCCCAAGAAAATTCAGAGGAAAGAGAATTCATTTTGCTTGTAATTTGTGCCTCTATAAAATGGTTACCCATTAGAGTTGGCTTTGAATCTTCTTTTTTTTTTTTTTAAGTCACGTTTTTAAAATGAATGCAGAAATATGGAGAGGGCCTGAAGGATAAGTAAACTTAAAAAAAAAAATTAGGAAGGGTTCCAACCTCAAGATGACAGGAGAGAATCAGTTTCATCAGAGCGAATGGATGCCAGAGGTGGCAAATGGTCCTTACCCTGGTAGTATAGGCTGCTTCAGGATCATCCTCAAGCACCCTGGACATGCCAAAATCAGACACCTTGCAGACCAAGTTGCTGTTTACCAGGATGTTCCTGGCAGCCAGGTCTCGATGCACATAACTCATATCAGATAAATACTTCATCCCCGAGCCAATGCCACGGAGCATGCCCACCAACTGAATGACTGTGAATCGACCATCATTCTTCTGCAAAGGAAGAGAGTGGGAACAATCCCATTAACATTAGGGCAAATCAATTACCACCAAGCATTTATTCCTGGGTTCTTTTTGAGTATCTGTATCCGGTGAGCAATGAAACTCAGCATTATTTCCGGGCCTTTCTGAGCAAAGTCACTAATTCAACGAGTAGAGTGTACTCAAGGAGCTGGGTTGGCTTCCTGTGATAGATGGAAATTGTCCAAGTGCAATGAATCCATGACTCAAAGAGCGCTACAGTGTGAGAATAAATCAAATACTACCTTCATTGCCCATGGATTATTCAATAGCCTTAAGACTCACATCAGATTCCATTTCTCCCCTTTCTGAACCCTACTGAACAAATCTCACGAATGCAATTGGACAGAGTGTACACAAGGATTCTGCTAGCGACTGGATACTAGTATCCCTGGCTTAGCAGAAAGTAGACACGTACCCTGAGGAAAGCATCCAAGGAGCCGTTCTCCATGTACTCCGTTATGATCATTACCGGTTTACCTAGAGTTTCCAAAAGAAAAACAAAAACGCTTTATGAGCAGTGCCGTTAATGAGATAAAAATGGGCTGCGCAGAATTTTACTGCCAAGACACCTGTCTTGTGCGATCTAATTTAATTAAAACAAGCCATGCTTCTGCCTCAGCTGTGGGGAGGGAGGAATGAAATATTCAAAGGACATGTAAGCTTACATTCCATCTGGAAGGTTAACCCTTCGGATGGCTTGTTGACAGGGTCCTTAACAAAAGTGGCCTCTGGTATCCAGGGATCACATGAATGGATAATTGCTCTCTTAAACAACAAGGGGAAATGATAAATGAGCAGGCCTGTTGAAAAGCGTTGGGGGGGGGGCTTTAGAATAATTTATTGATTTTTATCCCCAGAAGAGCAACTTGTGAGATGCTAAAGACAGAGAAAGCTTCTTCTTTAGAGAAACTCAGGTTTTGTAGGGCTGTAGTTATACTGAATACTTCATTATTCCTATAACCTGAAGTACACGTCATATAGAATCCGGCTCCCTTCCTTCGCTCTTGTCCTGGGCTCCAGGATTTCCCATAGTTCCTCACACCACCATATATCCTATGTGCTTCCTTTAACAACTTATCTTAAAAGACAAACAGATCCTTTTTGGAGAGTTAGTTTGTTTTGATTTTCTTTTCTTTTCTTTCTTTCTTTCTTCCTAAAGACAAGTGAACATTGATCAATAGGGAGGTGGGGAAGAGGGGACAGAATAAGATCAAATATATTGTATCTATTTTAATAAATAAATAAATAAATAAATAAAATCTTCACAAATAACTTTATCTGAGGCAGGAGCTTGAATTCATTGTTGGAGCGAAAGGGTTGGAAGGTCTACAGGGACTTTGGGGAAATCAACCTTTTCATTTTGCTTTAGTTCTCCTGAGGACCTTTGGAAATAACCTTTCTTTAATTTCTTACAGGCAAAGAATTAGGATCTGAAATTTTCTTTTCAAGGGGTAATGTTACAGGGTGGGTAAGGGGGGTTAGCAAACATTGTAACCCTGCCTTTTTTCCACTATGAGAAAATCTGGAAGGAGCTATAGATCCCCTTTGATGAAAGTAACCTGTAAGCTGATGAAAATATTTATTTTTATTGTTCTTGCTGACTGGACTTAGTGATTTAGTCAGAAAATAGGCTGGGCTATTTCAACGAAGTCCAATTCATTCTTGGTTGACTCTGTGTGTGTGTGTGAGACTCTCATGTCTAAGCCATATTTCAGAGGCAAGCATTTTAAACTAGAGAATGACGCCATTCAGACTTGCAGTACGAAATGAATGATTTAAAAATTTCCACCAGAGAAATTGTTGGGGTCCCTTCCCATTCTGTCACCTCCCCTCAGAATCCCTGCGTAGACCCAGGCCACTAAGAACACCTTTGGCCTTGCTGAAAGGGGTTGTCAGGAGCTCCCATCTCGCCTTGCTCAGTTCAGTCCCCGTGGGAAGGGCCCCATTCTCACTACGTTTGCCCTCCCCAAGTCCTTGGACACAGCTAAATCACCTGTGTGAGTCTTAATCATCCTGCCTCAATCAAAAGGTACTTTGTCAACTAATGAGGAAAAATCTGTTCTCTCAACCAAGTGCTAACACCTAATTCCATTTTACCAGTTCCCTCTAGAGCTCTCCAGAAGAGAAGATCCATGAGAGAGGAGCGGAGCGGGAGCAATTTATGGTTCTCCCCTGAATCTAAGATAATTTCTCAGGAAACTGGTTGGTTTTGAAACAACTCACTCTGATTGAGCCCTTTCACTATCACAGCTCCCTGGCCTAACTTCTTCCATTCTGCTCAAGTTTCCGGTGTTGTCTATTCTATTTATTAGAAGTACCCATTTGTCAGAACCCTGAAGAGCTCTACAAAGGTAAGAAAAACCAATCAGGAGTGGGTTCGGGATGGAGATGGCTGCTTCTCTCCAAGAGGCAGGGATTCCGAGGGGAGGGGACAGACGGGAAGGGACCCCAACAATTTCTCTGGTGGAAATTTTTAAATCATTTTAATTCAGTGACAACTGCATTATGCAAATGAACCCAGTCATTCGTAACAGTTACAGCTGTAATAGCTATGGGTTTTTAAAGGCGTGGTGGGACTTTAACACAAAGATCCCCTGTTTCTTCTCTCTTCTGCAGAGGTGCTAGGAAAATCACTGTCTGCGGCAGGAAAAACACCCGAGTTGAACAGAGCCCCCTTTCTAGAAAAGGGACCTGCAGAAGTATTTAAAGGGAATGTTATCTTTTAATTAAAATAGCGAGGGGCTTGGGCAGCTTCGAAGGCCACAGGCAACAGAAAAATATCCTGTCTGTAAAACCAATCTTAAAAAGCAAATAGAACTATTCTATGCTAATTATAGCCTTCACCAGGTAGAAAATTATATGTCTTTAGTATCAAATTTCCTTTTTTGAAGAATTCTCAATGTGAGGAGAGATGTACTCCTTCAGACATGATAACACCCGTTAACACTTAAAGAGGAGTGTGTGTGTGTTTTGTGTGTGTGTGTTTTGTGTGTGTGTGTGTTGTGTGTGTGTGTGTTGTGTGTGTGTGTAATTTACCATTGTGCAATAAAAACTACTCTAAATATTTTATTCCCTTCCCCAAATAACCTTGCAAGGCAAGTTTTATTTATCTCCATTTTTATAGATGAGAACAGTAAAACAAAAGACTGACCAACCCATCAAAGCCACCGCCAGCTTCTGATAAAGCCGTCAGCAAACACTTTATCATAAGGTCAGTTACTCTCCACATGGATCATGGACCCATAATGTCAGCATCACCTTTACTGAGTCCTTCATAGGAATGAAAACCCAGGTGCTTCTCCCCATCCCTACCCCGAATTCAAGCTGCTTTAGAGGTGGCTCAGCACATTTTTAAAAGCTGAAAGAATACATTTAATTACAACTATTTATTTAGCATCATGGGGTGGGGGGTATATGTGCTCCAAGGAACTTGTCCTAAGGTTAGAAAACAATCTTCAGGAGTTAAGTTCTCTCCTTCCAGCCAAGAGGGTTCCTGAGCCTGAACTCAGGCCATCAGACTGGGCAGCAAGCTTCTTCACAAGCTGAGCCATCTCCCTGGCCCCTAAACATTATTAGAAGACTCCAACGTAGGTTTATTTGTTTAAAGTAACCTTCAGGTTTCTTCTTCCTAAAGATTGTATACTTTTCACTCACTATAAATGTAACCCACTCCCCTCGCTCCCTCTCTCTGTGTCTCACCCCCTGAAGCAACTATCCTGACCCTCAGCACTTGTTGACTGACAAGCTTTTCACAGACAGCTTAAATCAAGTAAGAGACGTCTTGCCCTCATTGAAGACAGAGCCCCAAGCTTACAAGGTCCTTGACTTGTAGTAATTGTAGCTAGGTACCAGGGCTCCTGGACCAGAGCCACCTTAAACACACCCTGCTTTGGTGCCCCGTCCATGTGGTACTTTATAAGTCTTAGCCAGCCTTACAGATGTACACAGGGGCTGCTTCACAAAACTTGTCTGTTGAGCTGTGTCGTATTTTTAACTGAAGCATGGTTCACAAGCTCAGTGAATGCTAATGGACTAAAGAGGGAAGGTTCAACCAGGTGTTACTGTAAATAGGTGCTGAATGGCAATGGCCATCAATCAGGCAGAGCAGACAAGCGAATCCCCCAGTATAATAAAGATTCCCAAGTTTCCCTCCCTGCATCTGGAACCAGAGCTTCCAATACAAGGTGTGGCGAGCTTTTGTTTTGCTTTATATAAAACTTATTTTGTTTACCATCTGCTCGTGCCCACCCTGTGACAATCAGTTTGGTCTAGCAAAGATTTGAAAGATGGTATGGTGGTACACAAAACTCTGCAATATTAATTTCCCCCAAATCTCACAGAAGTTGCCTTGGAGACTGGGCATCAGCTGCAGTCATAGACCCATTTAGAGCTGACTGAAAGATTAATGACTTGTCCTGCACTGATTTCCTCTTATTAGTAATCAGTAGGCCTGTCCCATCTGTCATTTCCCTAGAAAGAAAATGTGTATTTAATCTCCCTGTTAACTCTCAACTTAGCTTCCTTTGGGGGTGGGGCACATACATTTGGTGACAACGCCTTCCAGGTGGATTATGTTTGGGTGGTCAAACTGTCCCATGATGCTGGCCTCACTCAGGAAGTCTCTTCTCTGCTTGTCAGTATAACCAGCTTTCAGAGTCTTGATGGCCACACAGATCTCTCTCTTGCCGGGCACTTTGAGACGCCCACTGCAGACTTCTCCAAATTCGCCTGTGGAAGAAGGATTCATGATGCATCAGCAATGCATTCAAGACAAAATAACCTTCATTGTATGCTTATTATAGAACAGGTGCCTCGCTAGAGAACCACAGTGATGATTTCATTTAGTCTTTCCCAAAGCCTTGTAGGAGGCACTGTTCTCAGAGGCTCCATTTTATCACAGGAAGCTCAAGCTTAAGGTAAAGCTCACCAAAGTCTCCCAGCTTTCGAGAATTAGATCATTCTGAATCCACCCAGTCTGGCTACAGATCGTACTGTGTTCCTTTATTTTATCCCTATGCTCACTTTTCCTGAGATTAAAATACACGGTTGCACCAAGGTTCCTTACAGAACATCGAATTTATACTCTGATTAAGGAAATCCCAGTGAATAATATTTATGCATATAGACATACATGCAATACACTCATGCGTGTGAATGTAATTGTGTGATCTACATTCATATTTAACATTTACAAAGGAAGCTGAGTATCAGACGTACACTCAGATACTTACCAACTCCTATGACCTTTTCAATTTTAATGCAGGATGCATCGATTTCTTTGGCAAATTCTCGGACTGCCTGGTTGGGGTCTTCATATGTGAAAGGATCCACATACGTTCTAACACCTAAGAAATGAACATGGGGTAAAGTGGCTGGATAAAGGCAACATGACTAAACCTAAAGGGCCAAGGTCTTAAAAAAAGAGCCCTTCACATAGGAAGAGCTGGGTTAACTATATGGTTGTTGACATATGAAAATGTTTAAATGCTTGCTCTGGTTTTCATTAGTGAGTACACAAAGAATTTGCTAGCTGTTCAAGACATTGTAGCTCTACTGACTTCCTGGAATGTCCTCACACTTCAAGGATAAGAGTTTAAAAACAACTTGTCCCTGGAGGAAAAGCGAATCTCTTATCAAAAAATTTGGAATGAGTTGGTGGTGGGCTCCTTTCTCCCAACCAGTGGCTCCAAACTTCAATGCCCTAACACTAAAGTCATACTGTGCCCATCATTTCCAATGCTATAACTTATCAAAGACAATAGGCACTCTCAGTTTCCACAGGCCCTGTCTACAGGGTGTCACATCTCCCCCTTAGTTGGACCAACTAAGTACATGACCAAAAAGGAACAGACTTAGATTAAACCTAGATAGATATACATAGGAGGAACACTGGTCACTGGTTGATTTGAGAATAAGGACTCTAAATTAGACTTGTATTCTTTTTTTTGGAGAGAAGGTTCAGCTGGAGGTAATGCTGCAGTCTAGCTGAATCCTGTGGATACCATGGGTACAATTCAGCCATCGACCCTCCTCATAGACAAGTTGGAAATGTGAGCTCTGAGGCAGCTGGTGACATCAATGCCCAACAGCTTCCTTTGGCATTTGCACTGGGGACTTGAGGATGTACAATGCCAGGTGACCAAATATCCATGATTGTCCAATAATGTCCATCTTTTTCCTCTTTGCTTCCTCGGTCATTATCAAGAACTGAATAGGCTACAGTTTTCTCACTTGACACTATCTTGTCATCTCAGAAAATCCCCGTGCAAACCACTGCTAGGTCATCTGGCTTCCTTTAAGTGTTTTGAACTTCTTAAATCGGTGTCTTTGAACTTTCTCTTAGAGCCTATTTGTAACCTCAACATCAAGAATCCACTAGCATATTCTCCATGGCTGTCATCCCAGCAACACAGACTACCATCACATAACTTGTCCTTTTACCAATTCACCTCCACCCCAATTTTTCATTCACAAAAATAAAATGATGACCCATCACATCTTGCTGCCCAGCTCCAGAAATGAGGCAGCTAAAGGAACACTGTTCCAGAGCAGAAGATGAAATGTGCAGACTCTAAAGAACTTCCTGCCTTTAACCTCACATTACACAGCTCTGAATCACCAATTGCACCTTGACATCCTTGAAGAATGTTATTTGGATAAGGAATGCATTATATAAATATTAATACGCATATTAACCAACATTTTCTAAGTTTAGATAACACAAAGCATGCTCTAAAAATGAAATTACTTTTGGAATCAATTTTTTTTTTATACCTTGATTCAAATGTTTCTCTTCATCTGCTTCTTGTTTCGCTTTGCTGTACTTACTCCGTCTATTAAAATTAAAAAAGAAAAGGAAAATTGATTTCCAATACAAAATCTGTAACAAAAAAAACTTAAGTAAATTATTCCCGACCACAACATAAGTCAGGTGGATAGGCAATGCACAATTCATACATAGGGAAACTGAGGCTTAGGGAGAGGTAAAGTAAAAAAGATAATACTATAACCTCTGTTGAGTCAGGGTTAAGAGCTGAAGCCAAAGTTCAGAATCTCTGATTGGCTATTTTTCTCATATGGCTTTCTGTCTGTCTGTCTGCCTTTCCTCCCTCCCCCTCCTTTCTTCCTTTCTCTCTCTCTCTCTCTCTCTCTCTCTCTCTCTCTCTCTCTCTCTCT